TTTAGGAATAGTTCAGGTTGAACCAAAGTTCTAGAAAATGGAACCATGTGTCGACAATGGCCGTGTCTTTGCAGTTTTGGTTTCAGTAGAGTCTTTTGCACAACTAATGAGAATGTCCATGCGCCTCACAAGCTTTTTATTGCAAAACAGCATTTACTAAGAGACAAGATCCATTACAATTTTGGCAGCCTTTTGATGTCTTTGAGGACAATAGAGTTGCTTGTACACTAAGGCTGCAGTCTTGTGCACCTTTATTTGAAAGCTTTATTTCCAAATCTAAGCTGGATAATCTTCATGAAGTGCTGATTTCAGAACTTTATTTCTCTCTCTCTCTCTCTCTGGTAAATGTTAAGGTACAGAATTAACTCTTAAAAAAGAAATGTCAGATAAGCACCGATTCCCTGTACAAGCAGTTCCTGAGCTACAAACATCTGACTTACATGTCTCCTAGTTAGAAGCAGGGGTGAGACAACAGGAAGTGAGAGGAAATAACTTCTGGAATAGTTATCATAGAGATATATTCGCTGAAGCTTTATCAGTGATCCTTGTTTCCATGACAAACCAAAATTTTCAAAATCATTTGTCACAGAGACAGAAGGTGATGTGAAATCTTCCAAACAGGGACACAGACAGCAAAATAAATATTCCAAGGATGTTAACCCTTCCCAAGATCACACGAGTGTGAACCCTTCTCTATGCTATCCAAAACTAACAAAGTGGCTGGAGTTACTTAAAAATATACCTGTTCTGATTTGCATACAGATTCAACTTAACAAATTTACAGAGCCTGTCTTTGTTTGTAACCAGTGCCTGTACTCTCTTGGTGCTTTATTGAGAAGAAGTATCAAATAGCTGCAGCTGCTTTTCCCAGCTAGTCATTGAAAAAGTCCAAAAGTAGTACTGCAGGACAGAGAGTAGAGAGGGTTGGTGATTTGTTTAGGTTCTTCTGGGGTGATCTACATTCTCGTCTTTCACCACTCAGAGAAGGGAATTGTTTTTGTTTTAATAAGAGTTAATGTACAGTACTTACATTGACCCATGGATGTCAATCCATGTTTTGGGGTGTGATTTTTTAAACTTCTGGATTTATATATGAGTGCATGTATGCATGATTAGAAATATGATCACCAGTTATATGATACCAGGATAATTAAAGGATAGAAAATTAATTTGGTTAGTGGAATATGGGCATTTCTTAAGTGCTTTCCTTGTCTCAACAAAAAAATAAGGAAGCTGCTTCTGCTAGACTTCCTCTTGTAATGTTGTGCTAATGCTGTGTTATTGGTGACTGTCTAAGTGCCAGGCTGGAAAAATCCTAGCAGTCTAAACATTTGACCTTGACACTTAGGAATGTGTATTATTTTTTTAGGTCCGTGTAATGTCTAGCATTCAGTGTTTACACCTGTTTTGCAGCTTATATTATTTGTCAGCTTTAAATCGATTCTTAAAAGAACAAAAAAAGTTTAGAAAATGAGTGATATTTTAAGTGCATGAAATTGTTTGTTAAGCTGCATCCAGGTTTTTATATGATCTGTAACAGATCAAACATCTATTACATGTTGATTTTGAACTCTATTTCTTGATTCTCTTACATTAAAGTTTGTGCCTCAATAAAGGGATATATAGTTGAAACAAAAATACCATACTGTTCTTTTCAGAACAATGTGCTGCTTCTTCTTTTTCACATTTGGTAGTGTTAACAAGTAGGCTTGTGCACCAATTTGGTTTGGTCAGTTCCCTTTGGCCAATCTGGCTTGTTCAGTTGGCCATAACAGGAAGGGCTTGGCTGCCATTTTTGTGGCTAAAACGGGCCACACAGCAGTCAGTCACAGCTTCTCCTCTCCTATTCGGCATCACACAGTGCAAAGAGGAGAGGAGCAACTGCATGGGGTTTCCCTGTGAGCCCTGCCTTTTCAATCAGAATAGAAGAACACTGTGATGTGTCTTTCACAAGCTGTGTCTATTTAATGGGGCGAGTGCCTCAATTGCTCTCAGTTGCATCCTGGCTCTAGAGAGGTGCTTCAGTCATATTGCCTTGCAGCTCGCTCTCAGCTTCATTTTTTGGCTAGGCTTGGCCTCTCTCGAGCATTGAATCATTTTGATTTCCCTTGATTTCTCTTTATTTTCTTGATTTTATTTAGTGGGACTGGGAATTGGGAAAGTGTGGAACAGGTGTGTGGGGGGTGTGTGTATTTGGGGACTTGGGAGACAGAAAAGAGCATCTTTTAAGAGAGTCTGGGAGGCCCTGCTCTTGGTCCCACCGGCTTCACAAGCACGCCTGGCGGGGACGAGAGACAGGGCCTTCTCAGTAGTGGCCCCTCGGCCAGTAAGGAGGGGGCCGATCTAATGTCTGTAGGAAGGGCTCCTACAGACATTAGATCGGTCCCCTCCTTACTGGCATTCCGGAAGAGTGTGAAGACCTGGCTTTTTGAACAGGCTTTCAACTAAGCAGTACAATTGAGTGATTATTGGAATGGAATAATGGACAACGAGATCGGTTGCTGATTCTATTGATGAGACGTGATGGATTGTTATATTGCTGTACTGTTGTATTGACTCTGGTGTTAATTGATTGATATTACTGTTTTAATTGATTACTGATTTTGTATTATCTTGTTGAAACTGGTTGTTAACCACTCTGAGTCGCCTGAGGGCTGAGAAGAGCGGTATATAAATGAAGCAAATAAATAAATAAATAAATAATTTTCTTTAAAAAATATTTGGGTGGCTCTGAGAGCCTTGAGTCACCTTTTAGTTTCTTTTTCTCCTCCCCTCTTCTCCTTCAGGAAATACTTTTAAAAGATTAACAATTACTGTTAATAATAATTTTAGCAAACAAACAGAAAAACCTCCTCGGAAACTACTACCTAGTTACCTACCTACCTATAATTACTACTACTACTACTACTACTTATTATTATTATTGTTATTTGTAGAAGGCCTATCTCCTGGACTCACAGCGGTTTCCAGCACATATGGCAAACATTCAGTGCCAATAAAGAGACATATTAACAAATTACATCAAAACAAAGTAACCAAGGTGTGGACTACCATGACCAGATCTGGTATTTCAAAATATGGTTACAGCTGGCACACAAGTTTTAACAATCAAAGGCACTCCTGGCCACTGCTTATACCCTAAAAACAGGGATGACCCAAACGTTATGAAACTTGGTAGGATAACAGTGGTTGATGTGTCCTCCAAGTGTGGTCATTTTCATCCCGATAGCCCTAAAACGATAGGAAGTGGGGCCTGCGAAGCAACCTGCGACAATGGTCATAGCTCTCAGAGACCAGGAGTTCACAATCATGATGACTAAGGTGGCAATGATCTAGGACAGGCCTGCACAACCTCCAGTTGTTTGGGACTCCAACTGCCAGAAGACCTAGCCAGCTTGTCCAATGGTCAGGAATCCTGGGTGTCCAAAACACCTTAAGGGCCACGGGTTGTGCAGAACGAATCCAGATTAAAGGAACCAGATATTTGTTTATATACAAGAAATGGGTTGACCAAACAAATCAATTGGATTATCTAGAATCTTGGATGATAGTTTTCACTTCCCTGAATGTGGAGATTTTAGTATACTAGTTTAGTGAAATAAAGCTTTAAAATGTGTTCTATTAATTTTACATTTGGAAATGTCTATAGAGAGATGAATTATTAATATTGTAATATTTGATTTAAGCTTTAGAATAAATAAAGTTGTCATTGTTATTGTGGACTGTCTTCAAGTCATTTCTGACTTATAACAACCCTAAAGTGATGCTAGTTGTCCATTTTGACTTGTGTTATTGTGTTATTAGCTGCTCGTTATAATGTGATTTATTTATTTTGTAACCCTGGAAGATCTACAGCAGTGGTTTCCAACCTTTGGTCCTCCAGGTTTTTGGAACTTTAGCTCTCACAATTCCTAACAGCTGGTAAGCTTGGCTGGGATTTCTGGAAGTTGAAGTCCACAACAACTGGAGAACCAAAGGTTGGGAACTACTGGTCTACAGAAAAATACAACAGGTTATAATTTTCCATGTGAAATATTTGCACCTTATATTTACTGAGCAGCACATTTGGTGGGAATTTCCAGGGCCTAGTAGACAGATATTGGCCTTTGAAGGCACCATTTGGGTCTTTAGGGTAGTTGGTACTGAAGATTAAGCAGAGTGTGATACCTTGAGTCAAGAAACTAGACTTACTGAGTGTGAATGCATATGTGGAATACTCTGGAATTCTCTGTGTATACTACACAGAGAAGCCATTGAAATCCACAAGCATGTGGCCAGTTCAACAGAAACCATTAAAGGGAACAAAATAATATATTTTAAAATTTGTATATTGCACTTATATCACACTTTTTGTCCAATATGAGATTCAAGATATATACATAGTGCTTTACAGGTCTCCGGTTCCTGAAAATATCTTGAGTAGTATAAAGTATATTTACTTGTTCTATTACAAGAGAAAAACCATAGCTAGCCATTCTGTGGCTTAGAAGTAATTGTCATGAAAGTCACTGTAGTTTCATGTTTGAAAATCCTTAAAATATTTTATTTTGCACTTATAGATTCCTACTGGAAAATTCATAACTAGTCTTAAATGATTGCTCTAAATCAGGCCTGCACAACCCTTGAATCTTTGTGTATTTGGGCCTCACATCTCTCAGAAGCCCTAGCCAGATTGTTCAGAGGTCAGGAATTTTAGGAGCTGAAGTCGAAAACACCTTGAGGGCTGCAAGTTGTACAGGCCTTCTCTGAGTAATTAACATCTATCTCTTAACTTATCTTTAAATATTTAAATTTTAAAATATGGTTATAGATTGGGGCAAATTTGTATGTTAAATTTATATAAATGGTTATTGAAACCGTTGCCTTCGTTATTGGATATATTCCCTTTTTTTCCTTCCCTGAAGGGTATACTTTTGAAAAGTTTAGCCGTGTTATGCAGAACAGAGGTAAATATATCTGTTTTTTTAAAAATATAAACTGATTTAATTTTCTTGGTCTAGATTTTGAGACAAATCTTCAAGCAGAAATCATTGGGACTTGGCACTATGGAGACGGAAAGCGAGCAGAACTCAAACTCAGCCAGTGGCAGCTCAGGCTCTGGAGGAAGCACTCGCCCTCAAATATCACAAATGACCCTTTATGAGCGTCAGGCGGTACAGGTCAGAGTTATCTTTGTTTTTACGGCAGGTGAATTACTGTGTTAGGTATTATCATGCTTGCTTATAAAATTGAATGGATAAGTCATTTATGGGTTGCTGTGAGTTTTCTGGGCTGTATGGCTATGTTCCAGAAGCATTCTCTCCTAATATTTTGCCCACATCTATGTCAGGCATCCTCAGAGGTTGTGAGGTGTGCTGGAAACTAGGCAAGTGGAGTTTATATATCTGTGGAATGTCGAGGGTGGGAGAAGGAACTCTTGTTTCCTCTGTGTGGATCTTTGTCTTTACTCTGGTGGCTTGTACTCCCATCATGAGAATAAAGACAGATCCACCCAGATGAAAAATGTTTTACCATACATCAAGGGAACCACTGACCGCATAGTTTGACTGTACAAACTACCTACAGACCCAGTAAGAAAACCCAACAAATGCTACGTTCAGCAAAGGACAAGAGAGATCCTCTCACTTCTGCAGGAGTCTACTGGATACCATGCAGCTGTGGACAAGTCTACATAGGGACCACCCAATGCAGCATTGCCCAAACACGAATCAAGGAACATGAAAGGCACTGCAATCTACTTCAACCAGAGAAGTCAGCCATAGCAGGGCACCTGATGAACCAACCTGGACAAAGCATATTATTTGAGAACACAGAAATGCTGGACCAGTCTAACAACCACCATGTCCAACTACACAGAGAAACCATTGAAATCCACAAGCATGTGGCCAGTTCAACAGAAAGAAGGAAACCATTAAAAGGAACAAAATCTGGCTACCAGTATTAAAAAAAAATCTCTAAAATCAGGACAGTAAATAAAGAACAACACTCAGAAAACAGGGAATTCCAAATAAGAAACAACCAGGGCCAGCTAACTCTTCCCAACAAAGGATTCCTCTAGGCAGGAAGCAGCCAGACTTTGAAGCTGTGAGGCTGTTCAATGCTAATTAAGGTGGCCAATTGCAACAAGAGTTCTTTCTCCCACCCTGGACATTTCCCCAGATATATGAACCCCTCTTGCCTTGTTTCCAACTAACCTCACAACCTCTGAGGATGCCTGCCATAGATGTGGGCAAAACATCATGAGAGAATGCTTCTGGAACATGGCCATACAGCCCGGAAAACTCACAGCAACTCAATGATTTCTTTGACAACACAACTCATTTATGGCTTAACAATTGGCTTCCATATGTGTTGCTGATCAGCACATTGCCTCTTGGTGTACCAGAAGAGATGTTTACTTTGGTAGGCTGTGTTGGGTTTCACCTGTAGGTTGCCAGTGGGTTCATCTCTGCTTAAAATCCAGTCTCTTCCTCACAATTCAGTTCAAGCTCTGTTTAGCCTGGATTTGGTGGTCTGAATGGCCCCATGGATTCCTTGGCATGTTCATTTCTGTATTCTGATTCTGTATTTCTTACTTACTACAGGCTCTTCAAGCACTGCAGCGACAACCCAATGCAGCCCAGTATTTTCACCAGTTTATGCTCCAGCAGCAACTTAACAGTGCTCAGCTTCACAGCTTGGCCGCAGTCCAGCAGGTAAGACAGGGCAAAAGGCAAAAGGATTGGCTGATATAAGGGCCTCTCCTTCTCCCATCATCGGAGGTCACAACGACCAGCCCAACGTGACTTACTCCATATACCGGGGTGCCCTTGGAAAGGACCAGACGCAGGGCTTTTTCTATTTCTGCCCCTGCCTTGTGGAATTCCTTGCCGCCCTACATGAGAGCCATGCGTGACTTAGGGCCTTTCACTCTCGGACTTAAGACCTGGCTTTTTACTAGAGCATTCGATCTCTGTTGATTTTTAATTTTTGTATGTATGTATTTTATCTTTTATAATTTAGCTGTAAATCTAGAGCATTCTCGGATGGAGGGCGATTAATAAGTTATTAAATGATGATGATGATGATGATGATGATGATATGCATTCTATCCTGGATGGATCTGGGTTGCTGTGGGTTTTTTCGGGCTATATGGCCATGTTCTAGAGGCATTCTCTCCTGACGTTTCGCCTGCATCTATGGCAAGCATCCTCAGAGGTAGTGAGGTCTGTTGGAAATAGGAAAAAGGGTTTATATATCTGTGGAATGACTGGGGTGGAGCAAAGAGCTCTTCTCTGCTGAAGCTAGGTGTGAATGTTTCAGCTGACCACCTTCATTAGCATTTGAAGGCCTGGCTGAGCCTGGGAAAATCTTTTGTTGAGAGGTGTTAAGATGTGCCTGGTTGTTTACTCTCTGCTGTTTTGCTGTTGTAATTTTAGAGTTTTTTAATACTGGTAGCCAGATTTTGTTCATTTTCATGGTCTCTTCCTTTCTGTTGAAATTGTCCACATGCTGGATTTCAATGGCTTTCTCTTCCCTTCCTTCCCTTTCTTCCTTTTCCCCCCTCCCCCCCCCCCCCCCCCCCCTCTCCTCCCTCTTTCTCCTTCTTCCCTCCCCTCCTTTCCTCCTTTTTTTCTCCTTTTTTTTCCCCCTTTTTCTTTCTCTTCCCCTCTTTTTCCCTTTTCCTCTTCTCTCCTTCCTTCTTTCTTCCTTTCTCCTCTTTTTCCCCCTTTTTTCTTTTTCTCTCTTCTTCTTCTTCTTTTTCTTCCTCCTTCTTCTCCCTTTCTCTTTTCTCTTCCTTCTTCCTTTTCCTTTTTTCTTTCCTTCTCTTCTTCCCTTTTTTCTTCTCTTCTCTTTCTTCCTTCTCCCTTTCTCCCCTTTCTTCTTTCCCTCTCTCCTTTCTTCTCTTTTCTTCTTTTTCCCCCTTCTTTTTTCTTCCCTTCCCTCTCTCTTCTTCTCTCTTTCTTCCTTCTTCCCCCTTTTCTCCTTCCTTCCTCCTTTCTCTCCCCTTTTCTTTTTTTTCCTCTTTTTCTTCTTTTTTTTCCTTTTTTTCTCCTCCCTCCCTTTTTTTCCTTTCCCCTTTTCCCCTCTTCCCCCTTCCTCCCTTCTTCCCCCTCTCATTTCTTTCCTTCTTTCCTTTTCTCTTTCCTTCCCTCCTCCCTTCCTTCCCTTTCCCCCCCCCCCCCCCTTCCTTTCCCCCCCCCCCCCCCCCCCCCCCCCCCCTTTAATTTTTCTTCATTTAGATATCTAACATTAACAAGACATTCACCAAAGTAGATAGGCATGTACACATCAAAAATATTGTTACCTGATTATATCTGCCACGATTTGCTTTTCTGTTATGTACCATAACCAAAATAAACAGTTTTATTTTTAAAAAAAGACACCTAAGTGCTGACTGAACAGGTTTATCTGCCTGTTAAGTATGACTTTTATTAAAATACTTTCTATCTGCAGTACATCCATGCAAAATATAGTATAAACTATACTGCTTTAAAATGCTTTTTATTGAAGAATGTTTTCTCACATACCACAAACAATTCTTCGTAATATTTAGGTGGAATCCCTTTCCTGCTTTTTGAAACTGTTGCTTTGTATCTCCAGAGCACAAGAAAGCAAGCAAGAAGGTCCCCCCTCAATGTGACATCATTTCAAATATATAAACATGGCTATTATGGCTCCTCTCAGCCTTCTTTTCCCCTAGCTAAACATACTTGGCTCTCTAATTTGTTTCTCATAGGACTTGGCTTCCAAACCTTTGACCATTTTAGTTGTTTTTCTCTGGACATGATCTAGTTTGTCAATATCCTTGAATTGTGGTGTCCAGAACTGGACATGGCATTCCAGATGAGATCTCATCGAAACAGAATAGAGTTGTACTATTACTTCAGTCTTGGCACTGTATTCCTGTTGATCCAGCCTAGAATCACATTGGCTTTTTAGCTGCCACATCACACTGTTGATACATTTTGAGTTTGTGGTATACTAAGACTCTTAGGTCCCTTTCACACAGACTGCTTTCAAGTCAGGTGTTATCCATCTTACATCTGTGCATTTCATTGTATTGCCTAAGTGTAGTACCATATGTTTCTCCCTATTGAAATTCATTTAGTTAGTTTTGGCCCAGCTCTCTAATCTGTTATGGTCGTTTTGGATTCTGATACGGTTTGCTGGGGTATTAGATATCTCTCCCAATCTGGTATTTTCTGCAGATTTAATAAACACGCCCTCAGTTCCATTGCCCAGATATATTTCTCTTTAGCTAATAAGAACTGAAAAATAAACTCTGATAAGAACTGGATAGTGATAAGATAAATGTTTACAATGTTAAGAAGGAAGTCAACATAAGATCAACACCAATCAAGAAGAGTCAATATCTGGCCAGGAAACTCAGATGGAGCCAGGATGGAAGAAGTTTATCATTAACTTACAACTTCAGCAGAATATTCCTATAAAAGACTCAGTCTAATAATGCTCAAATTGTTAGAGACCTGAGGAGTCTGGTTCACCCACCATGCTCTGCTCCATGGGAAGGAGAAAGATACTTTATTCGGAGAGTGTCAGATTTACAAGGGAGAAGTCTGGTCACTTTGGAGCTTCTTTCTCAAGGGAAGAGGAAGAAGTGTGCTTTTGGAGTCTTGGATTTTGTGCAGGGAGTCAGGTTCTGCTGTATGGAAAACAGATCTGGTTGGGTTGTTGTGGGTTTTTTTCAGGCTACATGGCCATGTTCTAGAAGCATTCTCTCCTGGAGTTTTGCCTGCATCTATGGCAAGCATCCTCAGAGGGGAGCCCCCGGTGGCGCAGTGGGTTAAAAACCCCTGTGCCAGCAGGACTTAAGACCGACAGGTCGCAGGTTCGAATCCGGGGAGAGGCAGATGAGCTCCCTCTATCAGCTCCAGCTCCTCATGCGGGGACATGAGAGAAGCCTCCCACAAGGATGATAAAACATCAAATCATCCGGGCGTCCCCAGGCAACATCCTTGCAGACAGCCAATTCTCTAACACCAGAAACGACTTGCAGTTTCTCAGGTCGCTCCTGACACAACAAAAAAAAATTCTCTTTAGCTAAGGATGGTGTGTCTCCTCTGAAGGAGGTAATGGGCTGGATGAGGAAAAGACAAATTGAAACTGAATCCAGACAAAACAGAGGGGCTTACCATCCAAAGTTCTAACCTAAAGATGGAAGTGTGTCAACTAGGTCTGGACAGGACTACACTCCCCCTGAAAAACTGCAGCTTGGGAGTGTTTTTGGATCCATTTTTTCAAATGTCAGCTCAGGGAGATGTGATGTACAGAAGTGTTTATTACCAGCTTTGGCTGATAACACCCTTCTTAGAATTTGAGGACTTAAAGATGGTAGTGCACATGCTGGTAATCTCAAGGTTGGACTTCTGCAATGCACTGTACATTGGGTTACTTCTGTACCAAGTTAAGAAACTCCAATATGTTCAAAACACGGCAGCCAGGCTAGTTACGGGAATATCTAGGAGTGAGCATATTACGCCCATATTAGAGTCACTTCACTGGTTGCTAATTAGTCTCTTGGCATTGTACAAAGTGTTTATTTTGACCTTTAAAGCCCTACATGATTTGGGTCCAGGTTACCGACAGGATCTTCTTCTTCCATACAATCTGCCCCGAACACGTAGGTCCTTTGCTGGGCAGCTACTCCAACCAGCAGATCCCAATTGGAAACCATCACCCATAAGATCTTTTTATTGGCTGTCCCAAGAAGACTGTGGAATAATCTGCTGGAAGAGCTCTGATAGCTAGATCAGCTGTTGGAATTTAAGAAGCAACTGAAAATCCATCTCTTCCAGCAGGCCTACCCAGCCAATTTTAAGTTGTGAATTTTAATCTGCATTTCAACAGTGGATTTTAACTTGTATTTTAACTCTTGTTGTGTGTGTGTCTTGTTGTATGTGTTTTAATAGTGTTTTATCTCTTGTTTTAATGTTGTTGTTCCCTGCCTCGAGCTTCAAGGAGAGGTGGGAAATAAATATATTTTATTTTATTATTAATTATTAATAATGATGATGTTAAACAGCACTGGATCCAGGACAGAACCTTGGCTCCCCCTCCTGGTCATGGCATGCCACTTTGTCATGACATACTGTAGATCAGGGGTCCTCAAACTTTTTAAACAGAGGGCCAGGCCACAATCCCTCAAACTGTTGGAGGGCCGGATTATAATTTGAAAAAAACATCAATGAATTCCTATGCACACTGCACATATCTTATTTGTAGTACAAAAACACTTAAACCAATACAATAATTAAAATGAAGAACAATTTCAACACATATAAAATTATTAGTATTTCAGTGGGAAGTGTGGGCCTACTTTTGTCTGATGAGATAGGATTGTTGTTGTTGTTGTTGTTGTTGTTGTTGTTGTGTGCTTTCAAGTCATTTCAGACTTAGGTTGACCCTGAGCGAGGGGCGGGTAAATGACCTTGGAGGGCTGCATCCCGCCATAGTTTGAGGACCCCTGCTGTAGATAGTAAATATTAAATATGACTGTAAATTGGAACATAGAAGGTTGCACATGAATTGAACTGGAGGCCTATCCTTGAGGGACTATGATCATGATTTTGTTGTAGTTTCAAGCAGTAAAATTGGTGAAAAGTGTCTGATTGACAACTACTTCTTGGCAAAATTTTGATTCTGAATAAAAAAGGTTATTTCTTGCAGGCCACAATTGCAGCCAGTCGACAGGCAAATTCTCCAAATACAAGCACCCCTCAGCAGACAGCCACCACACAAGCTTCAGTAAGTAACTCCCTTCTGTGATCACCCATCTCATGTCTGTTTACTTCGAGAATGCCTTGTCTTCTTGATAGCTAAATTCATAATTGTGTTTGGCACTTTGGAGCTCAGGAAGAAGGCTCTGGTGATGATAGTGGGGTCACTTTTGGTGAAATAAAAAGGGTCCTGAGGCAGAGGGGTAAGACAGCTGGTTTGTGTTTGAGTGCTAAAGCTGAGCAGCTGGTGTAAAAGAAAGCACCATCGAAAAGGGGAAGAAGAGGCTGAAGGAAGGAAAGAGCTTCATGTGTAAAAGAAGGTTGTTTCTTCCTAGGATTTATGTCTTGTCCTGTGTTCTGAATGATACAGCTTGTTTTATAATGTTACTATGTAAAGCATAATTGGATGGTATTGGTTTCCAAATCTATTATGATTCCCCCTGCCCCAACTCCACAAGAGGTTTTTGTGGGTGATGGTTAACCATTTTACCCTCATTCCTTATTTTGTATTTTGCAAGGAATTAGAAACTCACCTCTGACTACTTCTGGTCTAAGAAAACCCTAAAAACATAAGTCAAGTGACTTGGAAGTCATATACAAAAACAGTACTGCTAGAAAAGGTTGCATCTGTTGTTGCTTTTCCTTCTCAGTGGTTCCTGAACTTGGTTCCATGAGCATTTGTTCTGCTGGCTATGTGTAGTTGATGGTTCTTAAGAGGACTTAATAGACTGCTCTGCTGCTTTCTTAACCGTTTTCACCTTTTAATCTTTTAAATAGCCATTTAAATTACTTTTAATGTCGTGGGCATACTAATTCCACTTTAATAATATTTTGTATATTTTTAATCCATGCTGCATTTAATTTAATTTTTGTAAACTGCTTTTAGTCCCATTTTGGGGGGGAAAGGCATGGTGGTGGTGGTGGTGGTGGTGGTGGTGATGGTACTACTCTAACAACTTTGGAAAGTTTATTTCTAAATCATTGCTATAGATTTTTATACAGCAGGAGGAGAGACATTCAACTGAGAGTTAGAAATGACTGGGGAATCTGGGCTGGTTGAGAAGATCATAACCATAGAATCATAGATGACTTTCTATCTATGAACCTGTTTCTCTTCAGCTTTTGCCTTTTTCCATTCCTACTCTCCTTTATTTTGCTTTACAGATTAATTTGGCCACCACATCAGCTGCACAGTTAATCAGCCGCTCACAGAGTGTGAGTTCACCTAGTGCCACCACCCTGACGCAATCGGTACTCTTGGGGAATACCACCTCACCACCTCTCAACCAGTCACAAGCTCAGATGTATCTTCGGGTAAGAGGCGTAAACACATTGCTGCCACCTATCTTGAATAAATAACTCATTTGGTCCACTTGCATTATTGCATGTACTTGGGCCAGTCTGTTTTTCTGTAGACTGGCAGTCTTTATTCCCATGAACTCTTGGTTGAGTTTCAGCATAGTAGTTCAATGTAGATATAATACAGGGAGAGATATACTGTGTGGCATTTCTGTTTGGTTTTCCATGAATCTTAAAGATCCCATGGCACTTAATATGCATAATGCACTGGAACATAATCCCCTTCTTTTAACATGTTTGGATCATGGATCTCTCTTTTAAAACCAGTTTTGGTAACATACTCTGCTGAAATGTGATTCCCTCCTATTGGTTTAAATAATCCGATTTGTAAATACTATCACAGCCTGTAATTGACAGTGTTTAAAGGGAAAAAAGCATGTTCTAAGCTAAATGAGAAACAAGCTTCTTGCTCCTCCACATTCTTGCCCCTCCTCCGCATTCTATCTTTTAACAAACATTGAATTATTGTATTTGTTTGACCTCAGATTTTTCATTTTTCATTTATTAATGAATGCATTCAATTGAATATGAAAAATCTGTTCCTCTATTGATCCAGAATTAGCCTGGGTCCCTCATCCTCCTCTCCCTCTTACTGTCATTCACAAATCCATTGTTATTTATTTCTCATAATTTATGCTATAGCAAGACAGGGAGATTTAGCAATTTGAGTGGATTCTGGAAGATTAGAGATTTATACCCCACCTGACTATGGAAACCCACTGAGTGACCTCGAGCAGCCCTTGGTGGCGCAGTGGGTTAAACCCCTGTGCCGGCAGGACTGAAGACCGACAGGTCGCAGGTTCGAATCTGGATAGAGCACGGATGACATGAGAGAAGCCTCCCACAAGGATGATAAAACATCAAAACATCCGGGTGTCCCCTGGGCAACGTCCTTGCAGTCTACCAATTCTCTCACACCAGAAGCGACTTGCAGTTTCTCAAGTTGCTCCTGACACGACCAAAAAACCCCCCACCAAAAAACCTTGAGCAAGTCACACTTTCTTAGCCTCTCAAAATGGCAATGGTGCACTCCCTCTGAACAAAACTTGCCAAGAAAACCCTACAATAAGGTTGCCATACATCAGAAATGTCTTGAAGACACATACCAACCTTAAGTTATTGACCTTGAAAGGGGGACTGTGGTGACATGTCCATTTACAGTAAGTAACCTCTGCATTCCATCTCCTGCCAAGTGGCTGCAGTGAAGAGGACGCTGCTGAGTTGGAATGAGTGCCTGTTGGAGACTATAGGCCCCACGACACATTATAATCTATTTGCTTGTGGTTCGCTTTCTTTCCTCCTTTCTCTCCCTTTTGCTCTTCCCATCTCCATACTGTCTAAACCTCCTCCAACAGCCGCAGTTGGGGAACCTGTTGCAGGTGAACCGAACCTTGGGCCGCAATGTACCTCTTACCTCCCAGCTCATCCTGATGCCTAACGGGGCTGTGGCTGCTGTTCAGCAGGAAGTGCCACCCACTCATTCTCCTGGGGTCCACACAGACACGGACCAGGTCAGTGACACCCTCTTCCGGGGTTCCCACGACCAACCTGGCCTGCCCCAGTTTTGAGTGTGTCCTCCTAGCCCGCACTTTATGTGAGTAGAGCATTAATATTGTGCTATACTCTAGGGTTCTTGGCAGCACTCAGTCAGAAATGCTCTCATTTCTGAAGTTGACATACTGATGAGTCGGTTCTCCTGTGAGTGTGTTGATTATGCCCTTGTATTCTTACACTGACAAAAATGATTTACTGATGGAACATTCACTAATGTTTCTGATTCCACAAGTAGTAGCCCAAGCCACAAGAAACCTGGGCTCAAGAAGCCAGAAGTTCTTACCTTCTTTATGACAAGGGTTTTTTCCAAAAAAGAACGTGGGGCAGTGGGAGTGATTTGGCAAGACAAATCAAATGTATACATATTGGTTGGGGTTTGCAATGGTCAAGCTCATTTCTGAGGAGCTACAGAATGGCTTATGCTGCCTCTGTATCTTTCTGAAGATTCTATGTCTTATCCTTTCCTCTTGTCCATCCCAGTTCATGGATTGCTTAGAGGTATTTCCATCCTGCTTTGCATCTCTCTCTCTCTCTCTCTTTCTTTATCTGTTCTCTTTCTTAACTAATGTTAATTCCACCAAAAGTCAGCCACAGGTTATCCCATAAGTAGAAGGAAAGAGTACAGGTGATAAAGATAAAATAGACCATGTGAAAATCAAGGAAAGATGGGCAGGGGAGACAGAAACGAGTAGAGTTTCAACTAAAGGAATATAGAGGTAGTGGACCCCAGAATACTTGTACCACATGTTTTAAAGGAGCATGTTCAAGGCGGATTCAAAACCCGTACTGGGAGGCTGTGAGGGCCTTTCCTTTTCTTAAAGCTCCACCCAGAAAGTGCCATGAGATCTTTAACCTGACCCAAAATGGGGAGAAAGGAGCGGAGATGATATTTTTTTACAAAGAAAGAATTCGTTCTCTTTTAAAAAATGTTTCAGTCCTCATTCCCTAATTTGCAACACTGGCCAGTATTCAGTTTTGGACACAGGGAAAAGGAAGGCAGCAACAAATTCAAAATGCCTTTGAAGCATGCTCGGTTTTATTGCTAATCAAGGCATTTGAACCTTGCTGATCGAATTTTTCCTTGATTTTAATGTTATGTATTGCATGTGTATATTGTGAACTGCTCTGAGCCTTCAGGGAGTGGCGTTATATAAAATTGATTAATAAATAAAATAAAATAAATTAAAATAGACCTGTAATCTGTGCTAATGGGTGGTCCCTCCACCTCTGTTTCCTTCCCAGGTGCAGAATTTGGCTGTCAGAAGTCAGCAGACCTCAGCAGCTAATGCCCAGCTCCAGGCTTCTGCTCCAAAGGCTGCTTTACCAGGGAATTCTCAGTCTTCAGTACTGCCACAGGCCACCCATGCTGGCCAGACCTTGACAGTGACACAAGCTTCTTCTGGCAATGTAGGGCAGTCTCTCAATCTCAGCCAAGGGGCTGCAGGAAATAATGGAATTTCTGGAGGTGTAGCTTCATCTGTGGGGAATCATACTGCCTCTGGGTTGAGTCAGTCCACCTCATCTGGCCAAGGGAGCAGCTGTCAGAGGAAAGGTACTGGCGTAGTCCAACCTTTGCCTGTAGCCTCTGCTGCCCAGGCCGTGACTGTGAGCCAGGGAAGTCAAACAGAGGCAGAAAATGCAGCAGCAAAGAAGGCAGAAGCAGATGGTAATGGTCAGCAGACCGTGGGTATGAACCTGACCAGGACAGCAACGCCAGCCCCAAGCCAGACTTTGATCAGTTCTGGTAGGTGAAAGTAGATGCTTTCTTTACTGAAGAGCCTCCCACGACTGCTTGGTTCCTTGATCCATTTGTCAATAACCAATTTCACTGTTATGACAGTTGTGTACTCTTGCTAAATGCCACAGGGAAGATTGGCTGTAATGCATTTTGCATAATTGCTTGTTTTTCATGGAAATTGTAGCTGGAAGGTGAGAGGCTGATTTGCAGGCTCCTTGTCTGAGGATCAGGTGCTCAGGATAGTTGAGATTGCACTGCCATGCTTTCTTTATTCAAGGCTGATGGATTATTGGAGAGACTTCTGTCCATCTAGCCCAGTGGTTCTCAACCTGTGGGTCCCCAGGTGTTCTGATTCCCAGAAATCCCAGCCAGTTTACCAGCTGTTAGGATTTCTGTGAGTTGAAGGCCAAAACATCTGGGGACCCACAGGTTGAAAATCACTGATCTAGCCTATAATATCTGAGGATGACTCTTCAAGATCTGAGGCAGGCATTTTATCAGCCTTCCTGTTATCTAAATTCCCTTCAGCTAATGTGATTGGACCACAAATCCTCTAACTATGTGTTCCCTCTCTGGTTGTGGTCCCCACCCATCTATGAGGTAACTGCAGTTGTTTGCTTCTGTCTCTTGTTTCCTTGGAGTTTGCATTTCACCTTCTCTGCCAGATGATATTTTCTTGGAGGCAGAAATCTGGTTTTATTTGGTTAAGTTAAGATGGAGTCGTGGTGGTACAGTGGGTTAAACCCTTGTGCCAGCTGATCTGGTGACCTGAAGGTTGGCGGTTCGAATGAGGAGCGGGATGAGCTCCCATCTGTCAGCTCCAGCTTCCCAGAGAAACCTCCCACAGGTTGGTGAAACAGCCAGATGTCCCCTGGGCAATGTCTCTGCAGATGGCCCATTCTCTCACACCAGAAGTGACTTGCAGTTCCTCAAATTGTTTCTGACATGAAAAAAAAACCTTAAGCTAGCATGAATGCTGATGCTGCTGTATATTTTGTTCTTTCTGCTTACAGCCACGTATACCCAAATCCAGCCTCACTCCTTGATCCAGCAGCAGCAGCAGATTCACCTTCAGAAGCAAGTAGTGATTCAGCAGCAAATTGCCATCCATCACCAGCAGCAGTTCCAGCATCGACAGTCCCAACTCTTACACACTGCCACACACCTCCAGTTAGCCCAGCAGCAGCAGCACCAGCAAGCTCCCTCTCTGGCCCAGCAGCAGCAAGGACCAGCGCAGGGCCAGCATCAGGGCCAACCTCTTCAGGGCCAACCGCCAGCTCAGACCCTGGTTGTCCAACCCATGCTGCAGTCTCAGCCCCAGCCAGTGCAGCTCCATCAGGACAGTCTTTGCCAGGCAGCCACAAAGTCACCTGTCCCAATTCA